TCAATCCGTAACCAAAATGTGCATATAGTAACCGCCATAGAAATTTTCCCTGATCTGATACTATATTAATTCAAACTTTTGAAGTTTGTTATGCAATCATAGAAGCTCTAGCATCCAGAAAATGGGAATGAGAAATCTGCTCATAATGAGCATCAACAGTTAAGATTTGTTCATAGGAGGGCCTAACAATACCAACTTTAAACATATACAAGGAATTCTATAAAAGTATTTTTTTAAAAAAATTATTAAAAAAAATTAAAAGTTAAAAATTATATAAATAATCAAATATTATTTTTTATCTTATGTTTTTTGTGTGTTTTTTTTTCTTGAAAGTCAAAAGTCATCTAAAACATATTATTTTTTCACTTCATATTTTAACCCAAAAAGTAAAATTGTTAAATAATTATTCCTAAAATTTTAAATCTTTTCAGTTAATTATAGATTTATTTTTAGACACTTTGAGCCATAAATCTTTTTTTTTTTTTATAAGATAGGAGTTCGATTTCATAAATCTAAAATTAAATTTTATTTGGTTAGAAGTCTAACGCAATTTTGTCTATAAAGACACGCTAAAGTAAAATGACAAAAAAATCCATATATATATATAGATATACAAGATTTTCGATGTGAGATTATTAAATAAATCATAAATTAATTAAAATTAAAATTTTATATAATTAAATAGAAACTAATCAATAATTTTTTTAATTATTTAAAATAAAAAAAATAAAAAAAATTAGTATGAGATATTGATTTCTCATTAAAAATTCCCTTTTTCTTGTATATAAATATATGAGTAGTGATAGAGAGTTCAAATATTAGACTTCTAATATGAGGTCTAGTAACATGTCAAATAAAAAAAAAATAAATAAGTTAAAACGTCACATCAACATGTGAGATGCGAAAATGGGATACCTGTTGTATGTTAAAGCACAACAGGATTTGATGTGCTCTTAAACGACACCGCATTGGTGCATTTTCTTGTAACCATTCAAAGCTATTGTCCTCCTAGTGGGTATTTTTAAATTCTTTTTTTTCTTTTGTTTGTTTTAGTTATAAAACTTATAAAAAAAAAAATACTTTCTTAAGATCAAAATGATAGAATCAAAATTTTTAGTTAAGTAATTTTGTAATTTCGTTTTATGATGGGAGATTGTTGGTTCAAATTCAATATAGGTTGACAAACTTTGTAGCATCTCATTTTTTTAATAATAAGTAAGCTCTACTAATAAATATTGTGTGATAAAAAAAAAAAAATTTGAAGTCAAAATCAAAATTAATTTTGAGATGGCAATAAAAACAATTCTCAAAATAAATGGACATTTTGACCTTTTTTTTTGTCACACATTATATATACTATATGAAAAATCGATGGAACCGAAACAACCGCTTAAGACCGATTGAAAATTTAGTTTTTGGTTTGTTTTGATTTAAAATTTTTATATACCAATATAAAACGAACCAACTGAAATATTTTATTAAAATTTAGTCTCTTTTAATTCATTGAGTATTACACAATAAGTGCTCAATAATATATGTTTTTTTAACAAAAGTTAGGGAGATTTACGTATAGGTCTTAATAGATGAACTTATTATCTAATAAGCCCTATGATAATTAATAATATTTTTCATCAAACACTATTAAAAATGTTACTAATTGTTAATTTTTAGTTACAGTTTAAAAATTTTGTCATAAAAAATGTCACTAATTATAAGTTTTAGCGACAGTTTAACAAAATCATCACAAAAAAATCACTAATTTTCAATTGTAGTGACAGTTTAAAAAAATCGTCACAAAAAAGGTCACTAATTGTAAGCTCTAGCGACAATTTATAAAAACTGTGATAAAAAAAAATCACTAATTTTTAATTTTTAGTGACATCTATAAAAATTGTCACAAAAAATTATTTTTAGAGAAAATTTTACTTGGACTTATTTTCAATAGGACTTGAAGTAAATTAAGTTTAATTATTAGAACCTATTAGTTTACCCTAAAAGCTAAGGATGAATGTATTTATAAAATTATATTCCTTAGCTCATACCAAACTAAACCACTTACACCCCTAGATATACATTAATAGGTGTAACGCCCTCAAAATAATACATAAAATCCTACATTCTTGACATGCATTGATATAAGAGAGATAAACATTTTCTATTCATCAGAGTAGTTACGTACAAAAGTATTACATGTTGACAACAAAAGTAAATACCTTATGGGTTTACAACTTTCCAAGCCAACACTTGGTTACAAGAAGAGAGTACTAACTCAAATACATATTAAGCCCTTGGCCTGAATTTACATGCAATACAACAAAAGATAACAAAACAACAAAAAGAGTCTTCAACTCCCAAAACCTTCCAAGCTATGTCCTTGGATGTGGCATATCACCTGGACCTGAAAATGATGTCCCATATAGGGTGAGCTACAGCCTAGTAAAGATATACTAAACCAAATATAAGCAATGACTAAAACAATAGCATTAGATAGATGGTTAACACGTATAAACCAATTATATCACAATACAGTTCCATGACACTAGTGTCTATGTTACATTCCATTTTCCTTTACTTATTCGAATCATTTCATATACATGGCTCAGAACCTAGCCAAACAATTCAATGAGACTATAACTCATATACTAATACTTCCATATTTCACAATAGATACACATATTTGCTATTTTAATATCATATTGAAACACTTCCATACTTCACAATAGATACACATATTTGTTGTATCAATACTTCAATTTAATACACATATTTACTGTATTAATGGAGTCCATCCCTATCTCCTCCCAAACAGGTTTGAGAGTCCATCCCCTATCTTCTCTCAAATCATGGAGTACATCCCCTATCTCCTCACATACAATACACATATTCCAAGTATATAAACAATTATCATATACAGGGATCACTCAATGCACATATTTAATGTATTATTCCAACCGTCATATTCAATGACTTATTCAATGTGATTAGTTTTAATTTTTCCTAATCAACATACAGTGTCTACAACAATCAAGACTATCCTCCACCGATAGCCCAAAGCAGTTATTTCTAAACTGAAAGTAAATGCATTAAATAGATATAATATCAACTTACTCCATAGGTGAGTGATTAATTTATTCAACTACACCATTCAATCCCATAATTTCCCAATTTCATTATTCTCAACTCAATTCCATATTTCTACATTTTTCAAAAATTAATTATACAAATTAATTTATTTCATAATTAAGGCATTCTTCCCCCTCTATCACATCTCAACCCAAAGGCTTAAATTCAACAATACAACAACATTAATTCCATTTTTGTTGGTCTCAAACACCCATAGGATTTAACATTTTAAAAACCCCCTTTTCTACAAATTACAAATCAGACCCTAACTTTTCCAAAAATTACCCAACAACTCCAACATATCAAAATGCCCAAAATTTATGACAAAACTCATAAGATGGAGTAGGGTATCCCTACCTCGAAATTAGAAGCCCAAAGGAGAAGATGGTGAACACCCGAAATGCTCCAAATCCATAACTTTTTAGATTAAAACGAAGCCTAAGCCACCCTCTATCTTTCTTACAAAGGACTTAGGATAGAAACACACTAAAACTAGATGAATCCCTAGAGAGAAAGTGTGGAGAGAGAGGGAGAGAGAGCTTGGATCTAGGGTTTGCAAAACAAAAGGGATGAAAAAGTGAAGTGTTAACCCGTTGCTGCCTACTAATATAACACAGGCTCGCTCGAGCAAATAAGTGGTCGCTCGAGCGACCAAACACAAAGAAGCCTCGCTCAAGCGTAGAAAGCCTTACTCGAGCCAACAATTCGAACCTTCAGGTCTGCAACCAGAAGCACGCTCGAGCGAAGAAAAGCTCGCTCGAGCGAGGAAACCCAAAACATACACCTCGCTCGCTCGAGCGAAGGAAAGCTCGCTTGAGCCAAGAATCACAACTCTCAGGTCAAAACCCAGATGCAGACGCACGCTCGAGCGAAGTACTTCTCGCTCGAGCCACCAGACACAAAACTCAACTCTCGCTCGAGCGAAGGAACCCTGGCTCGAGCGAAGGATCTAAAACACAGAGCTCGCTCGAGCGAGCCTTTTGTCGCTCGAGCGAAGGACCAAAAACCTAGGCAGCAACGATTTGCTCCTAATCACATCCAACCTGTAACAATCCTGCTCAAAACATCCTATAACTCAAATACAAAGGGTGTGTTTGGTAACGTTTACGTTTTCAGTTTATATTTACAAAAATTTTATAAACTGGTTTTTGTTTATTTTTTGTTTATTTTTAGAAAAACATAAACTACAAACGCGTTTGGTAATTGACAAAATGTTTTTAAAAAATTTAAAATATAAAAAAGAGTGAGAAATGGCAAGTGGCGGCGGAAGACGGTGGTGGAAAGTGGTGACCGTGGGTGGTGGGTAGCTGGTGGTGCGTGGGTGGGTGGGTGACGGTGATAGGTGGTGGGTGGTAGCGAGTGAATGGTGGTGGTGGTGGTGGCAGGTGGGTGGCGGATGGTGGGTGGTGATGGCTGGTGGTGGTGGTGGTGGGTGGGTGGGTGGGTGGGTGACGGTGGCGAGTGGTGGGTGGTAGCGGTAGCGGTAGCGGTGGCGGTGGCGGTGACGGGTATGTGTTTTCTCTGGTCTCCCTTTGTTTCCGCCGGAGAGAAATCGAACCACCAACTCTACGGTTGCGCCTCCGCCTTCCACCGCCGCAGCTGTTGCACCGTTCAGTGGTGGTTCTTCTATGGATGATGCGGCGGCGAGTACTGCATGGATCGATGGAATCATAAAGGATCTAATTCACAGTTCGAGTCATGTCTCGTTGCCTCAGCTCATTCAAAATGTTCGAGAGATCATTCATCCTTGTAACCCTAACCTCGCCGCCCTCCTCGAGTATCGTCTCCGCTCTCTCACGGAGGCGCCGACGATACCGAGTTATCCGGAGCGGAGGAAAGAGGCAGCGCCGCCAATTCCGCCTCTACTGAACTCATCATGTCAATTATCAAATTCATCTACTCCACATCCGATGAATCAGTACTCGAATTGGGGACAACCACTACCATCACCACCGATCGCCACCACCAGCGCCGCCGTAGTAAGCCAAGGAAACGCCCAGCTCCTCCGTAACAATCCGGCGAGCCCTAATTCTATCACACCGATCATATCAAATCAAGTCGAGCAACCTTCTCAAGAAAAGCCACATCAGGATTCTCCAACGGCTGAGCATTCAACGCCGCCGCCTCCGCCTCCGGCATCAACTGCGATCGTGGCGAGAGAGAAGAAAGAGGAAATGCGTAGGCAGCAGAAGAGAGACGAAGAAGGTCTCCACCTCCTCACCTTACTACTTAAATGCGCCGAGGCAGTGGCCGCCGACAACTTCGAAGAAGCGAGGAAGATGCTGCTCGAGATCTCCGAGCTCTCGACACCGTTCGGTACTTCGGCGCAGCGCGTAGCGGCGTATTTCTCCGAAGCGATGTCGGCGAGGCTAGTGAATTCATGTTTAGGGATCTACGCGACGCTGCCCACCATTCCGCACAGTCAGAAGATGGTGGCAGCATTTCAGGTATTGAATTGTTAACCATCAACTCATTTAAAAAGCTTATGCTTTTTATTCGTTATTAATGTTATATTGTCAACAAAACACTAGGTGTTCAACGGGATCAGTCTAAATTTATAAACTGAGACCACTTATTTATAAATCAAAAATTTTACCAAACAAGTTTTTATTTGAGTTTTTAAAATTTTTGTAAATATAAACAGAAAACTGAAAACGTAAGTGTTACCAAACGGCACCAAAGCATTGAAGGACGAAAAAAGATATAAACCACAATCGACACCCACGGAACCAAGTCCGGATACGACAAACAAAGGAGGAAGAACCGGGATCGCTATAACCTTCTCCCCTTAAGGAATTTCGTCCCCGAAATTAGGTTCAAGTTTTTCGAAAACAAGTTTTTCTCAATTCTCAATAACATCATAGTTCAATATTCCACATCTTGACCATTACCGGTCATCCCATCTTTATTCAAGAGGCATTTCACAATATACAACTTCCAACGTGCATTATTAACATGCATTCATTTGAAATTTATCAATTTCAACATATAGTTCAAAATTCAATTATATAACCAATGCCAACAACATATTTGCATTTCTATAACATATTTAACATACACAATATTGAAATAACTTCTATTCTCAAGGCATAATTCATAATACTTCCACAATATCTCCATAAACCAAACATATACATGCTCTGAAGGTTTATTGATACAACAAAATATACAATATATGCTCAAACATTGACAAATAGATCCAGATATTTCTCTCAGACCTCCAATTCACGTTCACAAGTGGCTTCCTCCACTTTTTCTTCCTGTACCTTTAATTTCATGCTGTTAAATGAAAATTTTCTTTGCTGATCAAAAAAAAAAAAAAAAGTGGCTTCCTCCACTCCGTGATGTTTCCACAAAACTTTTACCAAGGGAATGGTCTTGCCTCGTAAGACTTGATCCCGTCTATTCAAAACCCGAACCGGTCTCTCCTCATATGAGGCATCTTCATCAACCTCTAAGTCGGTCCAATCCAATACATACAATGGATCCGGCTCGTACTTCCGAAGCATACTAACATGAAACACGTCATGAACTCCGGACAATTGCGGCGGCAAAGCTAAACGGTAGGCAACCTCGCCAATTCTCTCAAGGATCTTGAAAGGGCCAATAAACCGAGGGGACAACTTCCCACTCTTACCAAACCTCGCATAGGTGATATTTTTAAGAAAACATGATCACCCACCTCAAATACCAAAGGCCTCCTCCTACGGTCGGCATAGCATTTTTGACGACTCTAGGCTGTAACAAGCCTCCTACGGATAAGCTCAACTTTCTCCGTCGTTTCCCGAACCAACTCCGGGCCCAACAAAAGTGCATCACCCACCTTGGCCCAATAAACTGGAGACCTACACGGTCGGCCATACAAGGCCTCAAACGGTGCCATACCGATACTCGACTGAAAACTGTTGTTGTAGGCAAACCCCACCAAGGGCAAGTGCTTCTCCCACGACCCACTAAAGTCAAGGACACAACCTCGAAGCATATCCTCAAGGATCTGAATAATACGCTCGAACTGCCCGTCAGTCTGAGGATGATAAGCTGTGCTAAAGGTCAATCTAGTACCCAAGGCACTCTGCAAACTCTGCCACAACCTAGCAGTAAAGCGTGGATCTCTATCTGAGACAATCGACACTGGGACCCCGTGCAACCTCACTATATCCTGAATATACAAGTCGGCAAGATGATCTACCGAATCTCTCACGCGCATAGAGATAAAGTGCGCCGACTTAGTCAACCGGTCTACAACCACCCAAATAGCATCACTACCCCGTTGAGTCCTCGGAAGACCTACAACGTAGTCCATAGTGACATGCTCCCACTTCTACTCGGCAATAGGCAAGGGTTGCAACAAACCTGCTGACCTCTGATGTTCGGCCTTCACTTGCTGACAAGTAAGGCACTTAGACACAAAAACTACCACATCTCTCTTCATGCCCCTCCACCAAAACTGGCGACCCAAATCACGATACATCTTAGTGCCTCCCGGATGCACCGCAAAGGCGTGAATGGTGAATTCTCGGAGTACCTCCTCTCGGCAAGACTCCGGCACAAACAAACGGTCTCGGTATCTCACACTCAGGTCGGGATACACAGACAAACCCTTCTCAACCTTCCCACCGGAGATCTTTTCTTGGAGGGATTCTACCTCAAGGTCACCTCTCTGTGCCTCTATCACTCGAGTCACAAGTGTAGGCTGCACAACTACAGAAAACAAGGCCGCAGTCTCAACAGATTTGCCCAGAAGCAAATCAAACTCGCCAAGAGCACCCAACATCTCCCACTCCCGGATGGCTATACAAGCTACATCACTAATGGATTTCCTGCTAAGGGCATTGGCCATAACATTGGCCTTTCCTGGATGGTAATACAACTCGAAGTTGTAATCCTCAATAAACTCCATCCATCTCCTCAGCCTCAAGTTTAAGTCTTTCTGTGTAAACAGATATTTCAGACTCTTATGATCCGAGAACACCTCGAATCTCTCACCATAAAGGTAGTGCCTCCAAATTTTCAAGGCAAAGATCACAGCTGCTAGCTCTAAGTCATGTGTAGGATAATTCCTCTCGTGTATTTTCAACTGCCACGAGCCATAGGCAACCACTTTCCCCTCTTGCATCAACACACAACCCAAACCCTCTCGTGAGGCATCACAATAAACTGCATAACCCAAACCCCTCTCTGGTATAATTAGAACTGGAGCAGTAGTAAGTCTAACTTTCAACTCTTGGAACGACTTTTCACAAGTCTCACTCCATACAAATTTGACCCATTTTCGCGTCAATCTAGTCAATAATGAAGCTAGCCTGGAGAAATTCCTCACAAACCGGCGGTAATGCCCAGCTAATCCCAGAAAATTGCAGATCTCAAAAACACTCTTAGGCTGTGCCCAGTCCTGCACTACCTCTATCTTGGATGTATCAACAGACACCCCTTCCCCGGAAACCACATGGCCTAAGAACTTGACATCTCTTAGCTAGAACTCACATTTCCCAAACTTGGCATACAGCCTATGGGCTCTAAGCAACTCAAGCACCACTCTCAATGTTCCTCGTGCTCCTCCTCAGAAGGTGAATAAATCAGAATGTTGTCCACAAAAACGACTACAAAACAATCTAAGAATTCCCGAAAAATCCGGTTCATCAAGTCCATAAACACTGCCGGTGCATTGGTGAGCCCAAAAGGCATCACCAGAAACTCATAATGGCCATACCGCGTACGAAATGCCGTCTTCGGAATATCCTCCTCCCTGACCCTCAACTGATGGTAACCCGATCTCAAGTCTATCTTAGAGAAACAACGGGACCCTTTCAACTGGTCAAACAAATCATCTATACGAGGCATAGGGTACTTATTCTTAACCGTAGCCCGATTCAATTTCCGGTAGTCAATGCAAAGTCTCAAGGTACCATCTTTCTTTTTAGCAAAGAGGGTCGGTGCTCCCCATGGTGAAACACTAGGGTGGATAAAGCCCTTATCTAGCAATTCCTGGAGCTAAATCTTCAACTCACTCAACTTGGCTGGGCCAAAACGATATGGTGCCGTAGAAATCGACGCCGTGCCAGACACTAAATCAATAGAGAACTCAATCTCCCGTTGAGGTGGTAAGCTAACAAGGTCCTCGAGAAAAACATCCGAATACTCACAAACCACTCTCGGCAATACAGTCTGGGCCTCATCACACTCACCACCCATAAAAGCTAGCGAGAAGACCACTAAGCTCACTTCGCCCTCGCGGATCATACACCGGTGGCAACACACTACCAACCCGATCCCCTAAGAAATGGAAACAATCCCCGCTCAAGGTACATACTGTGACCCTCTGGCGGTAACAATTGATAACAGCCCGGTATGACGATAACCAGTCCATACCCAAAATCACATCGAAACCCAACATAGCCATAACTACAAAAGAAAATGGAAGCCAGCGGTCGGCGACCTCTATATCACAGCCTCGACACCCCTGTTTCAAAATCAACTCACCCCCAACAGGTGATACAACACATATAGGAGATGCTAACTGTGCCAACTCCAACCCCAAAACAGACGCAAATGCAACAGATATAAAGGAATGGGATGCACCCGTATCAATCAACACATTGGTAACCGAGTTACAAAACAAGAAGGTACCTCTCATAACAGATGGAGCCGGTACAAGATCCTGCGCGGTAACAGCATACACGCGCCCAGAAGGTCTTTGATCTACCTGCTCACCTCTAGGAGCAAAAGATTGCTGCACAGACTGGGACGACGAAGCTCCCTGATTGGCCTTTGAGGCCTGAACTGACTGTGCTGGCTGAAAACTCTACGTCTACCTCGAACCAGACACACCTGATGTGGCACTCAACTGCGGGCAAAACCTCTTCAGGTGCCCTGCCTGACCACACTGATAACATGAGAGTGGCTGGCCTCTGCCCTGACTCTGGCTTTGAGGACGAGCCGAAGATGAAGCTGCTCTCTGACCTCCTCCCCTCTGCAGGCAAGCTGGAGACTTGTGGCCCAGTTGACAACACTTGTAACAAGTAATGTCTCCCTGACTGCCTCTCCCAGAACCTGCACTCGGCACTGGAAAAGTAGATCTAGCAAAACCACCTTGAGACTGCTGAGGGTTAGGACCCCTCTGTCTCCTGCCATCCCCTTAGCCATCCTGACTCCTCTTGGTGCCCCTCAACCTCTCCTCCTCCTCATGAATCATAATCTCCATATGGGCCGCAGCGTCCACAAGGCGCTCATACTCCCGAGTCATAGACCCGCCAACTCTCATCTTGAGCCCGTGCCTCAATTCCCTCTCAAACTCAAGACAACGACGTTTTTCTGATGCCACAAGCTCAGGTGAAAACCTGGATAAACTAGTAAATGCGGCCTCAAACTCGACCACTGATGAACTCAGCTACTTTAGCTGGCAGAACTTATCTCTCAACTTCTCTCTGATAGTGAGAGACAGAAACTTCTCCTGGAAAGCATCTACAAAGGCCTTCCAAGTGCCACCAATACGACCCCTCATGAACTTCCACCACTGACCCGCATCCCCCTTTAATTGGAAAGACGCTAAGGTCACCTTCAA